GCAATAATGATTTTCCAAGGCTATTAAATATGGGAGGAAACATTACGGAGGCTGACAACATTACGCATGCGCACTTAGTTCGGTGTCAAAGTCTTTATTAACGCATTGGTTCGATTGAATTACCAAGGTTTCAGATATATTTCCGTTTAGAAAATTTCTCGTTCGCTTTATTCTTTTCATTTGGTCCCAACATATGGGGTGTCGACTGTTCCACAGCCGTCAAATTCTTTCCGCATTCCTTCTTTACCACATGCAGATATTTCGTTTGTGTTCGCCCCCTTCCTTTCTATGCTAGCCACTTTTAACGTAGATGGGCTTTACCCTCTCTTGTCAGGTAAGTGATATGTTCTTTCTTCCTCTCCCCTATGATATTGCCGCTTTTCCTCTGCAACTGACGTCACACTTGCTAGGTAGGGTACAGCATTCAATCTTATTGTTTGGATTTTAGCTTATGGCTTTGCTTTATTCAGCAATTTTGGATAATCATCTACAGCTTCTCGCTTAGATGCTTTACACATGAAACAACATACTGACGTTGAATTTCTGCGGTTCGCTTCTACTTCTTTCCGTACTACTTCGCTTCTGCTGATTGTTGACTGTTTCTCATGATATCTGTCTATGTTGGTCATTGTTTCTCACAGCTCTCCGGATGTCAGCCAGTTACTTTAAAATACCAATCTTGCCTGAGCTAAGCTAAGTTCGAAGCATCTGCTAGGGTGCTAACGATGTGTTCTTTCACGAAATATGCCTGCTTGGATTGAGAACGGCAGAAGCTGATTGGTGCGTATTGGCTAGTGAAACTTCTCAGTAACGTACTGTTCAACATTTTCTTGATTTGTACGTCCATAAAAGGTATGGAGTTGATTTGCTCCACTTTCACCGCGATTATGATTTATGATTTCTTCCGGATACAGGATGTTTGTGTGATCTTAAAAGAGCATTTCTGTGTCATTTCATCCGTGTCATCAATGTCTTCTGAATAAGTGAGGTCAAAATTTTCTGTCAGAGCTGCAGAATGACAATGTTTCAAAATGGTTCATAAAAAATTACGTTTGAACTGGAGACAACAACATGTTTCCGAAAACGATATAAAGCATTAATTAAATCAACGACAAATGACAATGCGCATTCCTGCTATATCAAAGCTCATCATTGATCCAGGGGAGCGGCAGTGAAACAATGTATCGGTTCACCTGATAGTATTTTGCCGTGAAAGCACCCAGACTATAACCCCAATCCTTCTGATTAGATTGATGGTCGCATACCACAGCGGCTGGAAAGAGGACTCACAAATGTACGTCTTCCTGTCTACCTTGTTTCTGGCCTGATTCTCAATCTTTTAACATGAGAAGGGTTTCAAGAGGTCATAAAAAATTCTAAACGACAGATGTTTACCTCTGCATCAGACTAGAATGAGACTTTCTCTTCCAGATTTTGTTAAATGAGCAGTGCTGATTTTCAGTGCATATCATTAAGAAATTTATTTGAAGCGTTATTGCAAACTGACAGGTTCTCTCATTCAGTACTGAATGGCC